TGGAGGCTATCCTCGCTGCTGTACCAGTGGAGTACAGGGAGCCGTTGAGGGTGAAGAGCTCGGCTAAGGAGGCATGGGAGGCTATTGCAGCGATGCGCGTCGGTTCCGACCGTGCGAAGAAGGCGACGGCCCAGCTTCTGAAGCAGGAGTACGCCAACCTCAAGTTCAAGGATGGTGAAACGGTGGAGGACTTCTCCCTCCGCCTACAGACGCTCATCAGCAAGATGACGAGCCATGGCATCACCATCGACGAAGAGGAGGCGGTCTCCAAGTACCTCCACTCCGTGCCGGCAAAGTACATCCAGATTGCTCTCTCCATAGAGACGATGCTGGACTTGTCCACCCTCACCATTGAGGATATGACAGGTCGTCTGCATGCGGTGGACGAGCGCCTAGAGCAGGCGACAGGAACGAAGGACAGCGAGAAACTCCTGCTGACGAAAGAGGAGTGGGCAGCTCGGAGGAACTCCGGAAAGGCAGCCTCCTCCAGCCGCGGTGGCGATGACAAGCGCCGCGGCAAGGCTTCTTCGGAGAAGAAGAAGCAAGTCGACCCCAACGCCTGTCAGCGCTGTAGGAAGATGGGCCATTGGGCACGGGAGTGCCCAAATCAAAAGCAGGAAAAGAAAGCTCAGGCTCATCTAGTGCAAGTTGATGATGAGGATGAGGCCACTATCCTGATAGCGACGTTCTGTGCACTACACGACGTCGAGGCCGAGGAGAAGGAAGAGGCGATGATGGTGGAGGGACCTGGGAAAGCCCTGAAGACTGTCAACCTCGATGAACCATGCGCCCAAGTCCACCTCGGACATGTGGGCGCTGACTAGGAGCAGCGGTGGTATCTGGACTCTGGTGCCAGCAACCACATGACGGGCTCCAAGGCATCCTTCTCCGAGCTCGACGACGATGTTACCGGTACGGTGAAGTTTGGTGACGGCTCAAGGGTGGCATTCCAAGGGCGCAACACCATCATCTTCAGGTGCCAGAACAGGGAGCACCGCATGCTAACAGATGTATATTACATCCTACAGCTGCATTCCAGCATCATCAGCATTGGTTAGCTGGATGAGCGCGGTAGCGAGGTACTGATCAAGGACGGAGTCCTTAGGATCCGGGACCGAGAGAAGCGACTTCTCGCCAAGGTGAAGAGGTCCCTGAACCGGTTGTACCTGCTAGACCTGAAGGTAGAGCAGCTAGTGTGCCTGGCAGCAAGGCACACCGAGGAACCGTGGATGTGGCATGCCCGGTTTGGACATCTCAGCTTCGACGCGTTTGGTCAGCTGGGGAAGATGGTCTGAGGGCTACCCCACATCAAGTATGGAGGCGAGCTGTGTGATAGCTGCCTGGCCGAGAAGCAGAGGAGGCTACCATTCCCAAAGGCGTCCAAGTATCGCGCGAAGGACGCTCTCGAGCTCATCCACGGCGACCTCTGTGGACCGATAACGCCAGCTACAAACGGTGGTCGGCGGTACTTTCTCCTGCTCGTGGACGATTGTAGTCGCTACATGTGGCTGCAACTCCTGACGAGCAAGGACAAAGCGACGGCGACGATCAAGAAGTTCAAGACGCACGTGGAGACCGAGAGCGGCAAGAAGCTCCACGTGCTGAGGATTGATCGCGACGGCGAATTCACTTCGATGGAGTTCGTTGCGTACTGCACGGATCATGGTGTGGTATGACACCACACCACGCTGCACTCGCCACAACAGAATGGCATGGTGGAGAGGCGGAACCAGGTGGTGGCCAGCATGGTCCGATTCATGATGAAGGCCAAAGGCATGCCGCAAGGTTCTAGGGTGAGGTAGTGACAACGGCGGTGTTCATCCTCAACCACGCTCCGACCAAAGCCCTAACGGGCAAGACGCCATTCGAAGCTTGGTATGGGAGCAAGCCGAGCGTGTCCTTCCTCCGGACATTCGGCTGCATCGGCCACATCAAGAAGATGTAGCCGAACCTCACCAAGCTAGAGGACAGGTGCACACCCATGGTGTTCCTGGGTTACACAGAGGGTACCAAGGCATACTGGCTCTACGACCCATGCGGAGACAAGATGCTTGTCTCGCGCGACGTCGTGTTCGACGAGAAGGTGGCTTAGGACTAGACCAGTCCGAGCACGGGGGAAGCTGGCGGCTTCAGCAGCACCTTCATCATCGAGCATTTGGTCATCCACGGTGGTGCAGACGCTAGGGAAAAGGTGTCGAGCATTCCAGTGGCAGAGCCGAGCACTCCTAGGGCAGTGCCGAGCACTTTGGGAGGGATGCCGAGCACTCTGAGAGGGGTTCCGAGCACTCCTGGAGGGATGCCAAGCACGACAGGAGTGGTGCCGGGAGGTTCTACAGTGATGGCGACCACTCCAGGACGGGTGCCGAGCACTCCCATGGCAGAGCCAAGATGTCTTGCAGTTGTGCCGACCACTCCAAGACTGAGGCTGAACACTCCTATAGTAGTGCCGAGCACTGCAGAAGTTGAGACGAGCTGTCCAGGAGTAGTGCCAAGCACTGCATCCGGGGTGCCAAGCACTCCAGGTGCTATGTCGAGCACTCAGGCGAAACAGGGAACTACATCCACACTGATCGAGTTCGCCTCACCTCCAAGTGACATCACTGAGTTCGTGGATGCCTTCTACAAAGGTGAGGAGGTGCGGTTCCATAGGCTGGACGACATCGTCGGCGGCACAGGACCCTCAGGACTGGCTGGTCGGCTGCTCAATGACGCAGAGCTGCTGCTCGTCAGTGTAGAGGAACCACCCACGTTCGCGCTGGCTGAGCGCAACAAAAACTGGCAATGGGCGATGCTAGAGGAGATGAAGGCGATCGAGGAAAACGAGACATGACAGCTCACCGATCCACCTCCAGGATGCCGTCTGATCAGCTTGAAGTGGATGTACAAGGTCAAGCGGGACGAGCTCGACGCCATTATCAAACACAAGGCGTGCCTCATCGCCCGGGGCTTTGTTTAGCGCGAGGGCAGAGACTTCGAGGAGGTCTTTGCACCGGTAGCGCGCATGGAGTCGGTCCGTTTGCTACTAGCCTTGGCAGCAGCAAAGGACTGACACATCCATCACTTAGACATTAAATCGGCCTTCCTCAACGGTGAGCTGGCGGAGACGGTCTTCGTCAGCCAACCTCCAGGTTTCGCCATCAAGGGAGAGGAGCACAGGGTGCTCCGACTGCGCAAGGCGCTCTACGGGCTGCGGTAGGCCCCATGAGCATGGAACGCCAAGCTTGACGCCACGCTGGGTGAGCTTGGGTTTCAATGGTGCGCAACCGAGCATGCGCTCTACACGCGGCAATAGGGGAAGGAGGAGCTCGTCGGCGGCGTGTATGTGGACGACTTGATCGTCACCGGCGCGTGCACGGAGGACATCAATGGCTTCAAGCGTGAGATGGCGGCTCGTTTTTGAATGAGCGATCTCGACGCACTCTCCTAAACAACCAAGGACCGCCTTCCATCACCCGGTTCCAATCTCCCAGGTTGTGGAATTGTACCAAAAACAAATTTGGTTCTAGCACCTTAAAGGTGACTTCTTTTGCCGCAGCCCAAGCAAAGCGCATTGCGCTGAACAAGGCCGCATGGCTATAGGATTTGGTGGAATGAACCCTAAACAGGCCCAACCATCTAACCTCCTTCATTAACTCATCCAATACCCGGAGAGATCGAGGTCTTCCTCCTCCTCTCCCACTAGGTTCAGGTTTCCCAGACGTTCTTCAATGGAATGGATCGAACCACTTACCTTGCCGTCCTTGCCCTCCTTCTCCACCCCTGAAGCTGAAGCCATGAGCGTGCCGCCTACACGCGTCTCCTCGCGTGGATCACCGCCTGCTTTTGGACTTGATTTCGCCTTCAATCTTGCCGATCGAAGGGAGATGAGTTGACTCTGTCGGTCGCGCTGCCAGAGGAACGAGAGATCCTAACTCGCGTTAGGGGGAAAAAAACAACTAGCCACCACCGCGCCTGCGCCTGCTCCGCACGCTCGCGCAGCAAATCGTCGCTCGAGCCCGGCCGCAGCACTACGCAACACAGCCCGCCGCACTCCGCACGCCTGCGAGCCGCTGCGCCGCTCGTTGGCGCCGCCACTCGCACCCACCCGCACGCCACTCGCGAGGCCGCGCCGCCGCCGGTTAGCGTCCGAGACTCCGATCGCATGCAAGGTCGCAATCGCCAGAATCGCCCTGATCCGAAAATCACGGAGCGTCATCGCCTCTCCTGCGTCACATGCACCTGTATGGGGATGTGCAGTTTGTCGGACTTGGGGTTACATCCCCACTACTATTGGCCTTTTTTCATGCAACGTGTATGCCTTTTTTCTAGTTTGCTGTCTTTATTGTGTTTGGGGCGTGCGATATTTTTCTTGCGCGGCAACTGACACATCACCGGTTTTTGCAGTTCGAAAGAAAATTCAAACTTCGCGAATAATTGGAGGGGTAAGTAAGACATTTTTTGAAAAAAGAAAACATAGGTGAGCCCGCATAACTCCAAGAGGCCCTTATCGATTCAGAGGGCCGAGACATGAAAAGGCCAACAAAAAGGCCGATTAAAAGGGCCAACCGGGCCAGCGCGCTCCCGGCTTTAGTCTACCATTCTCTTATTTTTATATCCTCCCTCCGTCCGAAAAAAATGCAATTTTCGTTTTTCGAGAAGTCAAATAGTTTGAATTTTAACTAAATTTATATAAAAATATAAACATTTATTGATACAAAGTAAGTACCATTAGATTAGTTATAGAATATATTTTATATTAAATTTATTTGGAGACATAAATGCTAATAATATTTGCTATAAATTTGGTCACCTTGAGCTTCTTTCACTGCACGTATTCCATAATTACATTTTATTTGCGGACGGTGACGGTACCATTTCTCTTCTCCTATGCCTCCACGTCATCACAATTCTACCACCGTCCAACCTATGCTCTGGAGTCCATCCAACCGCACACGTACCCATCCACCCACACACAGATTTGCCTCTCCAGATTTGCAGAACCTCCTTCCCACCGCAGCGCGATGGCGGCCACGCTTTTTCCTCTGCTCCACGACCGCCTGCTCCTCCCAGCGACTCACCTGCGCGACGCCGCTGCAGCAGCCGTGCCTTCTTCCTCTGATCCACACCTGCCTGCTCCGGCTGCAACTCCGGCCAGCTCTGCTGCCTGCCCTGCGACAGATTGCTTGGCCCTACCCACAAACAACTGGCCGATGGGGGCGGCGGTGCCTCCTCAGTGCCTGCACGCTAGGGGGCCCCACGAGGCAGAGGCGCCGCACCGGCCAACCGCGTCGCGTGCGTGACGGCCGAAACCGACGGCTGTGCTCGGCAACCACGACTGGTCATGCCCCGCGTCCTGCCGACACGGCAACTACTTCTGGGAGAAGTGCCGCCGCCGCAACTGCAAACGGGAGGAGCCCCACCGCGTGCGCGCCGCTCGCGGCTGAGCCCATAGGGCCCACTGCTCCCTTCCTCTGCTGCGGGTGAATCTGTGCTCGAAGAAACCGGTTCTTGTGTACAGTATATTTGTAATTTGTGGTGTTCTTGATAAGTGTACGGTATATTTGCTTACTCAATTAGTTTGGCTAAAGTGCCTATTCTCACTCCGTGCATTACAGCAGACATTCTCACTCAGTGCATTACAGTAGATCACGAAGAAATAGAGCAAGGTTCCTACGCCCGCAGATTTTTTCTTTAGCTCTTTCTCCTAATTTCCTAAGGTGAGTAGTCTCTTTTTCTTCTCCATCAGCTTATATGTGTTATTTCTCCTTAATGATGATTACAGTTACAACTTTGTGTTCTGCATTGGTTACAAAGTATTGCCAGTACATGAAAGACATACCTTATAATTGTTCTATTGAATGGTGATTAGCATTTTAGATCTGTTGTGCTCTCAAACACCTATTAAAGTCTTTCACTCTTTTGTGCTTACAATAAAGTTCCTGGATCAAAGAAGACAGATGCTAGGTGTACAGTCTAATAGCTTATTCAATTAGTTTGGCTATAGTGCCTATTCTCACTTCGTGCATTACAGCAGATCACGAAGAAATAGAGCAGGGTTCCTACGCCAGCAAATTTCTTCTTCCTCCTAATTTCCTAAGGTGAGTAGTCTCTTTTCTTGTCCACCAACATATATATGTTATCCTGCATTTCTCCATAGTGGGTGCCTATGCCCTTTGAGACGATGATTTTCAGGTACCAACGATTACAACACATGAGGATAGTTTTGCATTTTATTTTCCTTCACCGCCGCTCCATGTGTTGTTTACAGATACAAAAACAGCAATGTGGGGGCTCGGCGTCATTGTGGTGCCCAATCCGCAGTATCACCACATGGACTCAACTCATAGCAAGCTGAGTACTCACTCATCAGATATTCTATTTAAGTTTAAATAGGCCACTATTTGATTAGTTCCATTTGTGATATGATTGGTTGACACAACATTATGCCGTTCCACAAGAAACTGGACTCAGTGAAGTTGCTGAATCGTTTCAAGTCCTCTACATGGTTGGTCATCATTTCAAAAACGATTTGCCGCGTTCTGTTCAATAGTGATCTCATCTCCTTTTTTACATTGGAGTTCTGCAACCATGCTAACTGAATTGCCAAACCTTACAATATTTCATATGCATCTTTTCTCTAGAGTGGTCAAAACTGTTCCTACAGGAGTAGTGGGTTATTAAAAGATTCTATAAAAACATGCGGCCATTCTTCGAAACTAAAAAACTGGAAACGACAGATAAGGACCATCTTACTGACTGCAGCTGTTTCCTTTCTCGACAGGAATTCAACAACAGAAGGCAACACTCCTTGGAGCGGCCAAATAAAAGAAGTCATCAAGATTCATCAATGACTAATTTCTACTTGCCCATGCCTAAGCTACGATATGTGTCTATGGTGGTATGGCTTCTGCACTTTCTTTATTCTTCTCATGTCCTAATACAACCATTCTAACTGTTCAGTTATTCTTTCCTATAGTAATTGAGGCATCCAAATTCCGAAGATATTCCATCTTCAAGCTATGAATACTTTGCAGATGATCTACATGATGTGTTATGTGGGGCACGTGAAGTTCCGGCGATACTTCGCAAAGCACCTGACAATGACCATTGATATGCAGCTCCTCTTCTATAAACCATACTTACCTGGCTCTGCTGATTGAAATAAAGAAGTGCTACTTAGCGATACATTGTTGCTTCACACCAAACGTTCTACTTCTATTAACATCACGAGTTTAGATTACTGCTGTACAGGGAATGGTGTGTATGTTAAGTGATTTCTGCCAAACAGCTTAGCATATCTACTTTGTGTTTCACCTAATTATACATTCATATGTGATGGTGCATGAAAGGATTTTCCATGAGTTCACTTATGCATGTTACCGCTTTGCCATGAAAGAGTCCTAAAACTTATATGAAATTACAAAGTGACATTTCAAAATACAATTTCAGAAAGCTACAACAGAGGACAAAGTTACAAGATATTTTATATGAAAGTGTGCATATTAGCTATTTGATGATTTTATACATTATTTGAAATTTAAAAATGCCATTCTACATTTCACAATCAACACCCAATTGTGGTTCCTGGATTTACCCCGCGGCAACGCCCGCGGGTACTGACTAGTATCAGATAAAACCTAGGACTAGTACCTGCCAACCGCCGCCCTTACAGGTCACAGCATCACCTGCGAAGTTGAAACCCTAAGGCTGCGGCGCTACAAGGGTTAGCCGGTTAGAAAGAAGCCAACTGCGCCAGCACGTCAAAGCCGGCAACAGGAGCCTAGGATCTTCGCCGCCACCGCTGGCGACCGAAGCCCAGGATCTCTCCTGCCTCCACTGGCTGGCTGCGGTCGTCCGGCTCCTTCGCCCCAAAGCAGCTGAAGCTCTTCCACCCGAATCAGGTTGAAAGGATCAAGATGCTCAAGATGGGGGTGAATTGGGCTAATTCTAAAATTCTTAGCAATAATTAAATCATACACTTAGTCCACTTCACCTCTTTGCCTAGAATGTGATTCTATTGAACTATCGCACAAAAGTTTAGCACCCTAAGTTCCAATCCTACTCTAGCATGGCAATTTTAGTAATGTAAAGACAAGAATTGAATTGTTCAAATGTAAATGCTTAAAGTAAAGAGAGGAGAAGGAACGCGGCGATGTTTTGCCGAGGTATCAGAGAGTCGTCACTCCCTATTAGTCCTCATTGGAGCACCCGCGCAAGGGTGTAGCTCCCCCTTGATCCGCACAAGGATCAAGTGCTCTCTACGGGTTGATTCTTCGACACTCCGTCGCGGTGAATCACCCACAACCGCTCACAACTTGAGTTGGGTCATCCACAAGCTCCACCGGATGATCACCGAACTCCCAATCACCACCAAGCCGTCTAGGTGATGGCGATCACCAAGAGTAACAAGCACGAACTCTCACTTGACCACGACAAGTCTAATGAGAAGGGTGGATGCACATTTTGCTACTCTTGCTTTCACTAATGAGGCCTCTCTCTTGGATTCTCAAATCTCAATCACCTCACTAGGACCTTGCTCTCCTTGGCACTCTCAAGGGTGTTTCTCAGCTGTTGAAATGAGCAAAAGTGATCCCTCACATGAATGGAAGAAGTATTTATACACCCTTGTTTAAAACGAACCATTATGTGCCTCTGCGGTCTGACCGAACGCTCTGATCAAGGTGACCGGACGCTCCGGCCAGTTCACCCGCCACTGAGTCGTTTAAGTTGAAACCGGACACAGACCAGCGTCCGGTCAGTACTGACCGGACGCGTCCGGTCACGAAAACTGCTCTCTAGAACTTTACTAGAGTTGACAGGACGCTGGCACCCAGCGTCCGGTCACTTTGCTGCTTAGTGTCCGGTCGCACCAGACGACTTCACCTTGATCAAATGAACTGACCGGACTCTGCGCCAGCGTCCGATCACACCGGAACCAGCGTTCGGTCAACATTTGACCCTCCATTCACTTCCAACTCTCAATCATATGTGAATGAAGTTTGCTCCAATTGATCTTAGGGCTATTTAGGAGCTACCTAGTGCTAGATTTGATAAGTGTGCACCATACCTAATCCACTAGACTCACCTAGGTCAAGCTACCCGTCCATACCCCCTTAATAGTATGGCCAAAGGAAAAAACAAAGTCCTAAACTACTCTAAGTGTCTCCTCAACACCAAACGACACTTAGAACTAGTCCATCTTTAATCTTGTCGTCCATCCTTTGAAAACCGAAACGATTTTCATCGTAGGGGCATGACAACCATGATTTCCCAATCAATTTCCATTACCATGATCTAACTTAATTGCATCTGCAAAACACACGTTAGTCACAGTAATCTCATATTGTCATTAATCACCGAAACCCAACTAGGGGCCTAGATGCTTTCAATCTCCCCCTTTTTGGTGATTGATGACAATACCACCTCGAGTATGTAAAAGAGATGAGGTTTTCAACATGTTTGGTTCATATAAGCTTTTGTTAATAAGAACAAAAGAGTTAGGCAAGCTTATATGACCCAAGCCAACTTGATGTACTCAGTAGATATGAAATAAGCATGAGTAAAAGAAATAAAGCTCATTTGCATCGGAGTAAAACGCGGAAGCAAAGCAAATGAGCATAACCAAGTGACATGACATATAAATAATTCAAAGTAGAGAGCACACATGTCACATATCACATAAATATCACATCACGCAGATATCACTATCACATAAATATAGTTCGATGCATGAAAGTAAACATGAATGCATAATAGTGTATCACACATAAAAAGCCAAATATAATAGATAAGCTCCCCCTAGATATGTTGCTCCCCCTAAGTCTATCATACTCGATCCCTCTCCCCCTTTGGCATCAAACACCAAAACCTAAGGGTCAGTCGGCGGGGCTGCAGCGGACGAGTCAGGCGCTGAGGCGTGATGAGCGATCTAGAACTATGTGCCATCATCATCTGATCTTGAGCTCTAAGCAGTTTGACCCTCTGTGGCTGGAAGCGACGCTGAAGTGGTCTGGGATGGATCTGGGACTGGTGCAGCCTATGACTCTGTAGGTATGAATATAGCAGGTGGCTCTGATGATGCAACTGAAGAAGGGAGCGTCTCTATAGTCCCAGTAATAGGCTGCCCTATCAACTCACTGAATGTCGCACCAAGGCTCCTAGAGACTGGGGTGTCTGGCACAAGCAGCGACGAACTCGGAGCCGGTGTGAAGTCTATATGTAGGGGTGTAAACTGCGGACCCGAGGCTATCACTGGCGAGGCAAACCACTGGGACACCTGCTCTGTAGGTGAAGCAAACTG